TTACTAGCATGGGGTACCTAATAAAGTGACCGGTGAGTGTATAATCCCTAAATAAATAAATGCTATGATTTAAATATAAATACATAAATAAAAAATTTAACAAATAAATAATCTTTAGTCATTCAATAAATACTAAAATAAAGGCGAGTCTGACACCAGCAGGTCAGCTGTCGGTCTCCTCCTGGTCGCTGCGGTCCAGACTCCTGAAGCAACGCGCCACATCCTGGCTGAACGCCTGCAGCTGAACCAGGGTGAGGTGCGCTGCCACCTGCACCTCATAATCCCCTGGAAGGTGCAGCTCCACGCTGGTCGGCGTCGGCGGGACTGTGGCTTCTGTGGTTTTGATTTTTAGCATCTGTGAAACATTAGGAAATAAGTTTCTTTAAAATGTGAAAACAAATGTGTAAAGGTTTATTTCAGAAGCAGGATTCAGAAGGTTCCTCACCCTAAAGATCTCGATTTTTAGATCCCTGACGTCGTATTGTAAAGCATTCATTCTATCTTTCACTTCCAGTCGAGGAGAGATGGAGCGCAGTAAGCCATGGTGCAGCTCCAGGCCGTCATGCATCGCTCTCAGAGCTGTTTCCTGGCAGAAGGAGAGCAGTTTGAACATGTCTTCTAATTTTTTTTCTTTTTATCAAGTTACTTGTATAAACTCCTCTAAGAAGGGACGATGCATACCAGTGAGAAATTGGCTGAAATCGGTTTGATGACAGGAGCTGATGGGATGCCGATTGTGGACCTCATGGTAGCAAGTTTAGCATTTTCTGGAACTTTCCACTGCAGACTCTGTGATGCAGACATAAAAACAGTGACTTAAGCCAAAATGCATGAAACAAACTTTAAACACAAAAAAAGAAAATTATTACTGAAAAATTTATGTTTATAAGTATTTAAATTTCATATAAAGTATCAACGTTCGACATTAATCCAGTTCTTCCTTATTTAACATGAAATGTTTTTTTTCCACCACTAGTTTTTTTCCTTTCATGTTTGTTGTAATAAATGTAAATCCCTTTATTGTCTCAAAATGGGGAAATTCACTCTCTGCATTTAACCCATCCACTTGGGGAGCAGTGGGCTGCCATTGTGCGGCACACTGGGAGCAATCAGGGGTTAAGGGTCTTACTCAGAGACCCAGAATGGAGGCTGTGGGGATCAAACCAGGTACTTGCAACCTTCTCAGTGCACAAGTGCACTGCTCTAACTCAGAAAAAAGCATCATATTCAATAAAGATCTTAAAACTTTAAAACCTTTACTGGGAAGTTTGTCAAGTTTAAACTTCATTCTGATGCTTTCTGATCATAAAGTTTAAAATAGTATAAAATGATTGCTTACTGATTTAAAGCTGCCAACTTCCAAAAGCCTTTATTCTAAATTTTGATCTGTTTTAAATAATATGAAGTCACTTTTTGTTTTCTGAGTTTTTCTTGGTAAATAAAATATTTTTTCTTACAGCATAATGAGCAAACAGTTAAACTCAGAAAAACTAAAAAACTAAAAAAAATCAATCAATAAATAAAAAGAATAAAACAAAAGTGATATTAACGATCAACCCTTCAAATCAAAGCCAATTATCCCTGAATACAGATACAAGTTTGATGCAGCTGGAAATATTACAATATTACATTAAATACTAACTAAAATCCTTTATAATTTTAGGTTTTAGAATAAAGCAGAGAAAACTGCTTTCCTGAACGCTGATCCAGAAAATATTTCCAATTTAATGATTTAATGTCATTTTTTGTAGAATTTCAATCTAATCATCCACTAAAAATAATTCATCTGATGGATTTAAAACTGATATGTGTTATCATGCTATATTCAGAACCAGAACCATCATTTTTAGTCATAATTAGTAGCATCAGTACAACATCCACAGCTCCTGGAGCCACAGGTGTCAGATGCTTGTACTGGATTAAGGCTTTGCCCCCAAATTACATTCTGGGCCATGTGCAACCTTTGCTGGGCTCTCACAAACTAAACTACTTCTGTATGGAGCCAAAATGGAGCCAGAAAGTTGGTTCAAAAAACGTCTTCTTTAAACTAAATTTAAAAAATAACAATTTGATGCTGCAAAATACTTTTTAAATTAAAACAGACTTTTTACACTGATTTTTTCTTTTCTTTCTTTTTTTTTTTTTTGAAAAACAAGTCTTTTTAAACAGAAAAAAGTAAACTGAAACTGAAAACAAAAAGTTAAAACGAGAACCAAATGTTAAAACAACTTTTTTTTTCACTTGGTAATATTATTTTGTTCAATC